AACTGCTTTTTTTTTTTTTTTTTTTTTTTTTTTTTTTTTTTTGCAATGCTAGGAACTGTCCCAGGGCTCCATGAGTGCTAGGCAAGCGCTCTACACTGAGCTACACCTCCTGCCCTGTTTTGATCCATTGTGCCAACTGTGTACACTGTGACAGCGTCCCCACCCCCAACATAGCAAACATCTCCCCTCAACCCTTCTCCTCTTCTCTCCGCACATACCCACTGCCCGACAACCACCCCTTCCTGTGACTAGGGCTTTGCATTTCCCATTTTATAAAAGTGGAACCATACAGCATATTATCTCTGTTGCCACTCTGAATCAGTTGATTGTTTAGAGATTTGTTGTTGCATGTATCACTGGCTCTTTCCCGCCTCCTGGTGGGAATAGTGACAGAGTGAATAAATTTTAGACTATTAACACATATGTGCGATAAAATGAGAATCCAAAAGAAGATAAGAGAGAACAAATGTCGCTGTGATTTTTTATTTCAGTGCCAGGGGTTGAAGTTTACCTAGGCCTCGTGTGTGCCATGCCAAGGCCCTGCCACTGAGCTCCATCCCCAGGGACTTCCATGAAATGATAACGAATGAAACATTCCAGTTAACAAAGATCATGTTCCCAAGTACAAAGCCAAAGTCAACTATATGCCATCTACATGAGACCTAAATACATTACAGCCTTACAAAAAGTTTGAAAGTTTTTAGAATGGAGAAAACGTATATCATGTTAACACAATAAGAAGACTGAGGTCTATGTTAACATCAGAAAAATAGACTTAAGGCAAGAGAAATGGAGCTAAACGCATCCGCATCCCTTCTGCTAAGGCTGCTGTCTAGATGCCCCCAGAGCTGTATGCATTCATAAGTGGGCTTTGCCACTGATCTGACTGCATCCAGAGCTCATAGCTGCTGCTGTGGGGAGAGGGTCTGGTGGAGGAGGCGTCACTGTGACAGTTAGGCTTTTCCTCCCTTCCTAGCTCTTTTCTTCTCTCTCTTCTTCCTGGCCGCCAAGCTGTGAGCAGCTCTTCCCTGCCAGGCGCCCTCTGTCGTGCTGTTTCTTCTTTGGAGCTGGATGACCATGGGCTGAAACGTGAGCTGAACATTTCCCTTCCGAGTTTTGAGTGATGGGTGTTTCGTCCCAGCAGCAAGGAAAGTGGTTGGATGGTTGGTTTTTTGTTTTGTTTTGTTTTTTAAAGACAGGTCTCCCTATGTAGCCTATGCTGGCCTTGAACTTGTGATTCTCCTGCCTCAGCCTCCTGAGTGTTGGGATTACAAGTGTGCGCCAGCATATCCAACAAGACAGCTCCATAATCCTATGCAACCCAGTTCCCAGGGTAGATTTAATAGTGTAAAACAATATAGCCACAACATTTAGAAAAGAAAAAAATGACACCATTATCAGGGTAAATAGCCACAGTCTGTATGGGAATCTAGACTTACCTGTTTCAGGAACTGATTGAACAATAAGATGAAGACCAGTAAGGAGCATACACTATCACCGAGTGCTCATGGCGCAGGCACATGGCTCCATGCTGGGCCCTCAGCTCACAGGCTGCCATGCGAAGCGGGTATTCGCCGTCCACAGAGAGCTGTAGATGGCCATCGGTGCCTCCTCTGGGAGACTCTGGAAGACAGCACGCAGTGCGGTGGACTGCCGAGCTGAGCCTCTCGCTACTGCCCTGTCTTCCAACTCTTGTCTCCCAGTCCTTCCAAATGTGTCCCTCCCGGGTTCTGATCCACAGCCAAACATTACTCCAGAGCCCATGCACACCCTTACCCATGGCGCCTCTTCTGCATGGGGAGGGAGGCTCGAGCCCAAGGCTCCAGGCTGTGCCCACAGGAGGACTTCTCAGCCCTCCCTGGGGGCCACCCCGGATAAGTCCTCAGTGCAGCTTGGGCCACTTTGAGGTTCATCAACGACAGGCCAACGAAGATTCCTCTGCTCTGGCCGCCGAGGAGGATGCCTTC